CATCAGTTCATAAAAATCATAAAATAATAGCACGGCTTAAGGTTCCAGTACATCACCTTCATTATAAGCTTTACTGGGGAGGCAAGGAACATGTAAAAATATATTTGTTGGAATATAGTACAATGATGCATATTTTAGTCACATGATATAGTCCATGTGTTCTCATGAAATATCAGGCACAATAAGTACGTTATCCATGTGGTTATACACTAGACACTTTGCATGTATCTATTATCCATGTGGTTATACACTAGACACTTTGCATGTATATACTGTCCATGTGGTTATACACTAGACACTTTGTATGTATATACTGTCCATGTGGTTATACACTAGACACTTTGTATGTATATACTGTCCATGTGGTTATACACTAGACACTTTGCATGTATATACTGTCCATGTGGTTATACACTAGACACTTTGCATGTATATACTGTCCATGTGGTTATACACTAGACACTTTGTATATACTGTCCATGTGGTTATACACTAGACACTTTGTATATACTGTCCATGTGGTTATACACTAGACACTTTGTATATACTGTTCATGTGGTTAGACACTAGACACTTTGTATATACTGTCCATGTGGTTATACACTAGACACTTTGTATATACTGTTCATGTGGTTAGACACTAGACACTTTGTATATACTGTCCATGTGGTTATACACTAGACACTTTGTATGTATATACTGTCCATGTGATTATACACTAGACACTTTGTATATACTGTTCATGTGGTTAGACACTAGACACTTTGTATATACTGTCCATGTGGTTATACACTAGACACTTTGTATATACTGTTCATGTGGTTAGACACTAGACACTGCATGTATATACTGTCCATGTGGTTATACACTAGACACTTTGTATATACTGTCCATGTGGTTATACACTAGACACTTTGTATGTATATACTGTCCATGTGGTTATACACTAGACACTTTGCATGTATATACTGTCCATGTGGTTATACACTAGACACTTTGCATGTATATACTGTCCAT